CCCCGCGCTAAAAAAGACCCAACCTCTCCACAAAAGAAAAGATTTCAGGCACTTACAGAATTTATGTAAGCAGGGTAATGTGTTTCTTTTCAACATTTAATAACTGGAAATGTAACAGCCGAGGGTGATGTGAAACGAAATAATGTACCGGTATTCAGAAAAAGCAAATAGAATGAGGGACGAATATTTCAGTTTTACGTCAATAAAATCCAACCAGATGTATCTATCATCATCAACATAAAGTGCCAAATGTGGAAGATCTGAAACAGAAACAGATATTGGCAATCAGGGTATGCCATTCATTGTTGGTTATTTATTCATCTATTCATTTATTCATTTATTTATTTACCCATCACCCATCAGTTAAGATTTTCCCAGGAAAAGACTCAGAGAATGATGTGTAGTCCGAGCTCGAGTACGAGCTCTTGGGGTAGTTTCAGGCCAATTACGTTCTGAGCATCGGGATGAAACAGAGCCTTTTTTCCCTCAAAAAGAAGAGTACACATGTACCCTGAGCGTCTCTTCATAGCAGATGGCGATCTTTGTATTTCAACTAACCAAATATGATACTTCAGAGCCTATCGACTCACCAACCTCACCCACTACTTACAGTTTTTAAAAAATACGGTTCTTTGTAATAGCGTGCACGTGGACAGTGTGAACCGCCAAAAAAGTAAAAATAGCTAATGTCACAAGCCACACCTTCATATTTGGACAAGTAGACGTCCATTAGATACTGGAAGTTTTTGCCGTCTACTTGAGCAACATGCCCTTCACTGTCACTTGTTGTTGTTGAGCTAGCCACTTGTGACGTCGTCCCTCGATGAGCGTATCTCAACAGTGTGTTCTGTGCCGGTCTCGTTTGAGAAGTGATGTTGTAAAGTGTTCTGTTCCCACTTCTCTCTTCTTCCTCTCTGGGAGTTTCTGTAATTGTTTCACGCGTTGACGTGTCTCTGGTGAAAGGTCAAAATGCACAAACGTTTACTAATCATCATCACATAAATATATATGATACGTAACGAAAACACGAAAGGGTGTGTCAAGTATCAATAGTGCGCTTGACATTCACATGACTTATTTTAAAAAATCTTGAAATAAAAGCAC